CAGGTTGGGTGGTTGCATGAGGGGTTGGGTTGCGGGGGGGGCGGGGGAGGGGGGGGGGGGGGAGATGGACCAGATCTGTGTCGGTGGTGAAACACGGTGCGCTGGGTGGAGGGGAAAGGTGAGGACTGAGTGGCCATGTGTCAAGTAGTGGTAGAAGTAACAAATAACGGGAGAGCCGGACGAGGCGCTCCGGGACCATGAGGGAACAACATGAGTGGTCAGAGCGGCGTTCAGGACGGGGGTTAGAGGCTGGTCTCCAGGCTGTGGAGAGGGCTGGCGGGGCTGGAGGAGGCGGCAGATTTACTGATGTCGATGGTAAGGTTGATGCCACTATCAATGGCGTTGTTGTTCTTGTTAGGAGACGAAGGCTGGCTGGAGTACTTCGTCCTCCTCCGGGCCGAATCATCATCTGTGTCGTCGATGAGGGGGATGCTGGGCGTGGAGTCGTCTATCCTAAACTCGGGGTGTGTCATGAAGTTGTGTATGGATGTTCTGGAGTCGGGTTTTTCCAGGCCTTCATAGAGGGAGCTACGGAATGCATTCACAACTCGAATCTGTTGTGTGAGAAGATCAAAAAAAAGGAAGGGGAAGAAACCATGAGCGGTGATGCTACAGATCAAACAAAAAGAGCTGCAGGGAACCTCGTAATGAGAGAATAGGTGAAAAAAGAACAGACAAAGAAGAAAAAAATATTTATTTTTAAGAATATAAGGTGGAAGAGAAAAAAGTGAAAGAGAAACAAGAGAGAAGGTAACTGGAGTCTGTTTTCTGCTTGCACAAGATGACTACAGGTCACAAGTCACTTAATTTTGGCGTGCACTAAGAAAAAGTGTGAGGAACATAATCATAAAGAACACAAGGAAATCAGACATTTCCAGAAAAGCAAAAGCAACACAAACGCTCGTTGTAAGTATACGCTTTAGTCCAATGTGCTGTATACCTAGAAACAAGCCACATTAATAAATGGAATGCTTACAGAAAAAATTGGAGGACAATACCACATGCAGTTTTGAAGAAATCTGGTGGACGAGGTCAGTAAGAAAGAAGTTGGTTATATCAGAGAAATCCAATGAGGCGATTTAAAAACTTCTTGAGGGGCAGAGGGGGGTAGGGGGCACCAGACCGCCGTCTGGCTGAATATCCACACAGACTCTGAATGAGACACACAAAACACTCAAATATAGCACAGCGTAGCAGAGGCATTGTCCCAAATGGAGTGAGTCAAATCTGCATGAGGTTGGCTCAACCTAAGCATTGCAGTGAAAATAAAACTCACACCAACAAAACACATCCCAGAAATAAAATAGTGGCATTTAGACGACAAGCAAACACCGTAGATTAAAATATTATGAACACACACACAAGATGTAAACACAAAGTACATGCAACAGTGACAAAACTGGACACTGGCACAAGAAAAGCCGACATCAAACAAAAGGAGGTGAATAATGAAAATAAGTTTCATTGTCAGAGGTCTGACGGTTGAAGCATGTTTCTCACTCCATGCATAGCTGAGTAAACACTCAAGTATAAGCCCGGCTGTGTGCGAGTGTTTAGTGAATCACATGTTCCTGTTTCCGAGAAATAACTTGCAACATGGCGACCTTGAAACCATACAGAAACTGAGCTCTGAAGAATCCGAAAAGGTAACATGTCCACTTAGTTACATCAGACATTTTTGGCGTTGGTATAAAACAAACGGAATAACTGATTGTAAATTATTATTTCTAAGTAAACGTAGATCAGCATTACATTTTCTAAAATTTAAACAAGTTTCCTATGTTGAATTTTATAATCCCCTTCCACCTGTAAAGGTTACCAGTACCAGTACCGATTCATCTTTTTGTCAATCTTAGGCTGATCTGACATGTGGTTGCAGGTGAAGTCCCAGCAGGATTTAGAATAAAACAGAAGCATGGAGGGCAGAGAGCCTTTTTGCTGGATTGCTAGACTCAAACTTTAATATCATCCAACGGTGCCAAGTTGCCACTAGGCAGAGTTGAACCTATTTGCTGCACTTTTGCGATGAGCTCTGGAGGAGTCGAGATTTTTATTTTTTTATTTTTTATTTTTGGCACTTTCACAGTTATTTTAAAGTTTTTTTTTTAAATGTTCCTCTGAATATCACGAAGTTTAGGAAAGCAGTTGTTTTCTTACATATTCCCTGGTTACTACCTACACTGCATGTTCTATTTTAAATTTTGACTATGAGTGTCACTCAAAATTTGAGCCGCAGGGCTAGGAGGATGTTGTGAATTACTAATTAAAAGTTTTTGTTCCATCTAAAAGGTGAATTATAAAAATCCTTAGCTGTACCAGTAGGTGTGACCCAAGTCATTTTGTTTTCAGAGTTTTTCAAAGTGACAAAAGAAAGTGATTCTATGTATGTATACCAGGGCTAACAATAAGTGTAGGATCCTTTATGTGAATTTAAGTTGTGGTCTGAAGGAAAAACTAACTTCATTGAGGAATTTTAAAATATTTTAACATGAAATGCAGAAGACATATGGCAGATGTGTTGCCACCTTTAAATAATAAATTGGAAAGAGAATTCAGGTTTGTGAAATTTCTCTTTTAGAAATTTTAGCATATTAGACCTGCAAATTACAGCACAGTGATAGCAGTGGTAGTAACTTCTTGCCTCGAAGTTTGAGAGTCATGTGGGTTCTGGAAATTAGAGCTATTACATGTAATATACAATAACACTGCTGCAATTATGGCTTAGTGGGTGCAAGAAGATGCAAAAGCTAAAATAAAAAGTAATAATGAGAGGGATCTTTTTGAATAAGTTTGTGACAGGAAATATGTCCTGTCACAAACTTGTCATAACCCTGTCATAACCCTGTCATAACCCTGTCATAACCCTCCAACTCTCCAAAAATGGAGAGTTGGAGGGTTATCTATTTTGGTGCTTCTGCTGGGAACCTGTCTGATAATATGGCAACATGATAATCAACCACAGCAGGATTATTAAGGAGAAGAACAAACTGGCTTACAGACAAAATCTGCAAGCAGCTTTCTGTTTTATCCAGCAAATGAGGAATAAGGAATAATTTCTCATTCTGGTGGTTTTAAGTTAAACCTATTCTTTTATTTATATATGCATATGAGTTTCACTTTAAAGTGTCAATTACGCTCAGACATGGCTCAAAGCTGAAAATAGAGATGATCACAGATCTTAGGATCTTATATCTTGAGCTAAGAGGAAACATTTTTCTGAAAGCATTCGAGGTAATAAAAAGGACATCCTTAACCACACATGCAGCCGCTTCCTCAGCGTTTATTGAGTTAATAAGATATATAATACACAATAAAATTTTGATTTGTCTCGAGTTGTTGTTATCTGCCACTTATGTGGCAGATAAAACAACATTGCCACTTATACTTGAATGTTCTCCCAGTCCCTTTGAGAGTTGATTGGAATTAGTTAATATTAACGTCCGTCGAGACATAAAAACGAGAGGAGTGACAGATGTGGTGAAGTATGGAGGATGAGCAGAGGGAGACAAACTCACAACCTGAAATGTCACGCCGTGGGTATCACTCTTAGTCCTGTGCTCCTAGCACTCTGGGGAAACAAACACACATTGACCAATGAGAGGACAGTACGGCCAACCATGGGAGGAGATATCAAGATGAATTTGAAATCCAGTGTGAACATCAAAAAGACAGAATAAGAGAGAAAATGAAAAAAGCAGCAAGAGAGAAAAGGACAAATCTTCAGAGATGCCAACGTCACAATGGAGGCATTGGTGGCATAATGTCTAGTAATTTAAGTTTAAAAATAAGAGCTTGATGAGGACTGGATGGCACCCCTGAAGCAAAGAGAGCAGACAAGCAGACTGACAGAGTTCTGACTCACGGCCAGTAGTGGGAGGAGCAGTAGCAGCAGTAGTGCTTGTAGGAGAGGAAAGGGCATTGGACAAGGACACGTGACTAGGACTAGAAACATTGGTTACATCCTGGTTCTGGCTGGTGGTGGATGACTGGCGTCTCAGAGCCCCAGCCCCCTGAAAGGAGGTGCCGCTCTTGAAGGTGTTGACTACTTCAATCTGTGGAAGAAGAGCGGGACAGGAGAGGACAAATGGCTGCTCAGAGTGACACGAACTGAATGGTAACACATGCTGGCTGGTTGGGTAAAGGGAGTACAACTTTGCAGTCATGACACATAAGGATGGGGGGAGGTAAAGGTCAGGGTGGAGTATCCCCACAACCAAGTGGTGAATAGGAATAAAAGGCCATCTTACAGATAGAACAACATGTACCTGTCATGGTGGTCATGAACATACAGGACTGTAGAAGTTGTGATTCTTCCAACATCTGCTGCCAGAACCAGACTGTATTATGACCTTTAAAATGGTCTGGATTAACAGTTCTCCAGGCTTTCTGAAGACTTAAGTTGCTTTTTCACGCATTTTTCAGTCTTTGTAACATTTTAGTTTGTTTATTCTTTCACTTAACAGTGATCTATTAATCACTGAGGCAGAATAAGGCTCCGGAGCTATGAACCTGTGTTGTGTCTAGACATTTTGGTCAATTTAGTAAGAATGGGATTTTAGGTGGGAAGGTAAAGGACTTTGTGAAAGGTGGCCACACTTTGTTCCCAATTCTTTAGCTGAATCTATGAAGGATAAAAAAAATAATTCAGTTGTGAAATATAATAATATAAAAAGCTGTTTTTTGCTATGAGAAAGAAACTTTGCTTAAAGTAGATGATCAATTGAAGGATTATGCATACCGTCGCTCCTGTGTCCGAATGTTTAGTTTAATTTCAGATTCAGATTTGAGATTTCAGATACTGGACATTAGCTGTAGATCCTTTTTAAAAGCCTGACATGTCTTTCGTCTTTCGCTTGCCCACTTTGTAGGCTATGAACACGCACAAAGGCTGCGAACAAAATAAGTGAAAAAGCAGACAAGTCTAAAACAACTGTGAAAGAACAACATAAAAGCAGCGTGAACTATTGATTTTTGATCAAATAAAATTTAGACAAGTCAAGTGCAATTTGATCTATAGATTTTTGTGTAAACAAACGTTTGTCTCAAGTGAACATGCTATGGCATAACTTCACACTAGTGACACATCGGTGAGATGAAATCAAGTGTAACACAAAAGCAGAATAGAGTTAGCTATCACAGTGAAACCGGTGTTAGAGAGCATCATAATGACAACAGTTCAATGATTATTTTCTGTTCCTCCGATGGTCCACAGTGCTTCCATCCACCCAGGAAAAGTTGGATCTTCATGTTCCTAAATTTGTTATCTTGAGACAAAATGACTTTAACGTTGTGCCATTTATGTCTTAAATATTATGCAGAAATATAGAAGAAACTGGATCTTTGACGCTGACCAATAAAGCATCTAGAATCATGCTATTCTGCTATCAGCCCCTTGAAAACAAAAACCATTGGCACATTTGTTTCTGAAAATAAGTGCCAAGGGGAAGGATGAATAAAGTAAAAGGAAGCAAATTTGTTTTGTCTTTTCAGGTATCAAGTCACACGAAATCCTGAAGTGAAATAAAAGTCTTACCTGAGTCTGGATGCGGTTTAAACCTCTGAACCAAAGTATTTGACCTCTCCGTAACTCCCTCTCTGCGTGGTCAATCTCCTCATTCTCTTCGTTTACGTCTTCCTCTGGCAGCTCATCTTTGTGAGTCAACTGGCCCGCCCGACGCAGGAAACGCAGGTGGCTGTTGGGTATGGTGACAATCACCTGCACAACAAAATAGGAGAGCATTTTTTTTTTTTTTAATTTAAATCCAAAAACTGAAGCAAAAGGCAAAGAATAAGCAGTGCATGAACAGTAGGCAATAATTCATTTGAGTTACCTGTCCCCAGACCAGTTCTCCCAGCCCCAGAAAAACACACCACAACCACTTTTCCAGGCTCAGAGGTTGACAGCTGAATGGCTTTCCTCCAAACTGCACAATCACAATCTGCACAAAATATTGCACAGTACGAAAAATAAAAAAATGACTTTCCAGACACCTCAATATGTGAAATATCCTTAGTTGATAAATAAAACATTCACCAGTAGAATAAAAAAAATATATTGCAGCTGTTTACCTGTATAGCAAAGGTGCCAAAAACGATGGAGCAGAAAATTGGGTTTCTGAAGATCCCGTCAAACACGTTCCTCTCTCCGTGTATTTTCCGAGCATTTATCTCATTAAACAGCTGCATCATTACAAATGTGTTGAATATGATGGTGTAGTGCTCGGACGGCGGAGAATGGAGAGGAGCGTTACGGCCACTGTCGATGTCAAAGATTTTCTCACCTGGTGGAAACAGAGAATATAAAATAACTTCTTGAATTCTGAACGGGTATTGTAGCACGCTGTATGTGAACTGCGCGTACCAGCAAACAGGAGCGTGAAGATGAGAATGAGCTGATAGACGGCGTGTCCCAGGATGTTCTTGGTCATAGTGCTGGAGATAAGAGGCTTATTTCGACCATACGGTTTTCTCCTCAACAGGGCCTCTGTGGGGGGCTCCGTCGCCAAGGCCAGAGACGCAAAAGTATCCATAATCAGGTTAACCCACAACATCTGCACCGCTTTAAGTGGAGAGTCCTGTGGAAATCAAACGCAAACTCCCACTGAGAAAAACAAAAACTCCAATAAAACTGGAAACATACAGTGGAAACTGAACCTTTACACACAACACAATGATGTGTTTGTGTCATCATTCTGACACAAAAGCATCGTTTTGCTCAGTTTGTAGGACATTCGATTACTCCAGTCACCATACTTAAAACTACGGATGAGAAAACAGAAACACAATTCTAGCCCAACCAGGAGAATGCCATCACCTGCTACACTATTGCCAGAAAAGGAGATTGACACCCAATTAATGCCTCTTACCTGTGTGATGCAGGCTCCAGTGAAAGCAACGATGACGGCCACGACATTGACAGTAAGCTGGAACTGAAGAAACTTGGAAATGCTGTCATACACATTCCGGCCCCACATCACTGCCTTGACGATGCTGCTGAAGTTATCATCAGTGAGAATAATGTCTGAAGCTTCTTTAGCCACGTCTGTTCCAGCGATACCCTGAAAGAGCACAAAATGACCAACAATGAAGAAAACCATTTTTAATTTTTCTTTTCTTGTTCTGGGAACATGGATTGGTTTTAGGAAGAAATTTGATTAACAATATGTAAATAATTGGTAATAGTTCAAAGAGATTATAATTTCTTTTTATTTAACAAATGCTGATTAAATTTTTTTTATTTTAAATCCTAAAGTTTAGGGTTTATTTTGTAATTAAAAGATTGAAATGGGTAAGTAGTAAAATCCAGAAATGCATGTGTCTTCTTTGAGTTTCTTTGAGTGTGGCAAAATGAAAAACAGTTCTTAAGAATTATTATTAAAAGCCTAAAATCTTATTAAGAAGTAATGAATGGGGCACAGAGAAATCCTCAATAAAAGTAGCAAAGTAAAAAAACTAAATACTCTGTTTTAGGGACAGCAAAAAAAGTATTTTAATGATTTTTTTTTTAATTCTCTGTATTTCAATTTAAAAAAGTAAAGCTAAAGATGCACTACACACAAACCACAAATGATAATTGCTGAAGAAGCTGGCTGTTCCCAGGGAGCTCTAGCCAAGCATATTAATAGAAAATTGAATGGAAAGAAAAACTGTGGCAGAAGCTACTTACCCATTTCAATCTTTTAATTACAAAGTGTTGAGATTCACAGAATCCAAGTGCCATGTCATATGCTTTCGTTGGTCCACTTTTGATTCATCAAGTCATAATTTAGCACAGGAAATATTAGAGCCCTTCATGCTTCCCTCTGGTGCAAAGTTTTATGGAGACACTGATTTCATTGGCTCTGGTTTACACTGGAAAAAGTCTCAGTATTTGTTTAATGACCATGGAATCACTGTGTATGGCTGACTCACCTGCAATCTCACCTGGCTATAATGCTATGCCACACTGATACAGTAATTTATGCAAAGCAAGCCCCAACCAAACCCCATGTGCATATACTGTCTAGTGCATAGACGTACTTTTAGTAGGCTGATATTGTCATTTAAGAAGTCCCTTTTAGCTTTATGTCAAATTCAAACAGTGAAACAGATTCTTGAAACAGATTATTCTGTGTTTAATAGTGCTACATAAATTATTTTTTTCTTTTTGAAATGAATTGCAGAAAAAAAACTTTTTAATTAATTTGATTAAGCTGTGTGTTACTGTCACCAACAACTAGAGGGCGCTCCAAAGCAGCAAATATGAAGGGATAGTTCTTGAGAAAATTCTAAATAATGCAGCAGCGGAAAAGACATTGGGAGATGTTCACTGCAAATCAGGCTCAAATTAATACATGTAATTAAAGAGAAAACACTCAAGCAAACATAAATCCCAGGCTAGTTTTATTACCATCGCAAACCCGACATCAGCTTTCTTTAAGGCAGGTCCGTCGTTGGTGCCATCTCCTGTCACAGCAACCACCTGCCTCTGATCTGCCATAGTGCTGTCAATAATTCCTGTCAAACCACGCAGAGCAGAACAGTTCAGATGATACAGCCAATCAGATTATTAGTTATTGGGTCTTATTTAATAAAAAGAGAAAACACACACCCAACATCTCAAAATCTAAGTTTGAAGTAAATTCAGCCACAAGTCAATTTCCCAAAAACGACGCCACAAACTTACCTTTGACAAGTGTGTGTTTATCTGTTGGGGATGATCTGGCCAGGACCCGGAGTTTAGGCCACACCTTGTCAATACGCTCCTGCTCCACCTACACAAGTTTCATGATGCGCACAAACATTTGAAAATGGAGAGATAAAGTGGTTGAAGTTTAGATATTTTTCCATCATTTTCGAGGCTGTCTCTTTTTTTTTTCCTCCCAGTTATTTTGGCGACACCCTCTGTACCTCGCCTTTCTCATTACGGATCCTCCGGTTGAACTCTTTGCCATCAATGCAGAGGAAATCCTCTCCTGGATGGATGATCCCACACTTGATGGCTATGGCTCTGGCCGTGTTTATGTTGTCACCTGTCACCATGCGCACAGTGATGCCTGCACGCTGACACTTCTGAATAGCATCGGGAACCTAAAGGGCAGAGATATGGAGCTTGTGATGCACGCACTAACTGTTAAAAACTGCCATTTTATTAAAGCATCAAAATTATTGTTTTACTTCAGTCACAAAACGTTGTCGGAGTTGTGCTTCTGACACGTTATATAACTTTTTTTTTATCATGCTATAGTGCTGTTTTCAGTTTACATCAACTCCAGAAGGATATGTTGACTCTGTCAACCATTTGGTGGTGTGGGTACAGTTGGTCTTACAGCTTCAATCCTGAAATGAGCGCACTGCAAAATACTAAAGCTGCAAGCTGGTGAGGAAAACATACAATGTGGACCTACGGGAAACTACAGACTATTTTCTGAAAATTAAAATATGAAGAAAGGTACCCGATACCTTCTATTATATCAAACTAGAACTATTTTCTTTAATTTTTTTTTATAACTGTGTGCAGTGAAGTTTATTGTTTCCTTGTAAACAGGACTCTAAATGGTTAAATGTTATACGATATTGTGCACACAGGGCAAAAAGAAAAATCTGTGTTATCAACAGCTTGCAAAACAGTATTAATTCAGAAATACATCTTCTTCTTGGCAAAGGTCAGTGTGGGAGAGTGCTGCTCTCCAAACCCACACATAAACAAATGTGTGCACATAAAGTAATGAGAGCCCACATTGATTTTTACAAACACGGAAGACTCTATTTCTATGCACAGAAATGTGCAACTACACACAGTGGAGTGAGGAAGGTTATCCACAAGAAGGAGGTTGACCAAGCAACAACATGTTTCCGTTTTGACTAATATGTAGCAAAAGAAACAACAAAAAACAACATTCTAGATAATAAAACCTACAAGATTGGAAAATATGAAGAAGATCCTGCTGCATTCGTTTTCCATTTCGTCTTTCATAAACAAATTACTGCTTACCCATGAAAAACATCTCTCAAGATTGAAGATCCTTTTTCTAATTTTTAAGCAGCTTTGGCTCTATTGAATAAATGTAGTTCACATTTGTCAGAGGATATTTAGTTTTAAAGGAACTGTTGTTCCAGTTCCTTGAATCAACCTAAAGTAACTAAGCTATTCAAAACTAGACAAATTCCCTTAAAAGGACAAAAACATAGTATGTTTTAAACCATTGAAAATACAATTTTTGGTATCCATTTATCAAACTGCTGCAATATTTTGAGGTAAGATGTAATTTTGGATTACTAGCCACCATTTTTTATGTATGTCCACCAGTTCATATTGATTTATTGATCAATAAAGTTTGTCAGGGCGTTTCGCAGAATCATCTGGTGTAAAAAAAAAACAACATTTTATAAATACATATATATAAAGATTTTGTGAGGCTTGGAAATATATGTATATAATCATTTATATTTGGTAGAAAATATAACCATTGTAGATCATAGTTTACATTACAGGGAAAATGTTAATTTTCTTGACATCTTAATTCTGTTTGTGGCAAGTGCATTATTTCCAAATAAAAATACCATAGGTATTCCAGTTGAATTTCTTTTTTTAATATTATGAATGTGTAGTTGTTGTCAAGGTGTTAGGCTGCTGTTTGTCATCTTATTAGTCTTTTTTTTTTTTGTTTGTTTTTTCACTACAGCTCTATTTGACTTGGCATCTGACAGAGGAGAGAAAGGAAAGAGTAAAACGGATTCTGACCCGACAAAGGAGGAAGGTAGGAGTCTAGATGTTATACGGAAAAACAAGCCTCTTGAGTACCTGATATGGATCTGGTTACCGTCTCGTTCTCCTCCATTTCTCTTTACTCATCTCCCCCCACCTCCATCGTTCTTACATCAATCTTATTTCTAATCTATTTATCTGTCTCAGTCTCTGTTTCTCTTTATATTCCTGTTCCTCTCGAAGTCCTTCCTCCCAGGAGCACCCGTATACAGAAGCCAGGGATCATAACAACAAAAAATGTAAATTTAGAAGGAAGAGATTTGCTGCTAATAGAGAAATAACAATGTTTACAAAGTTGTTTGACCTTTTATTCAGGAGGATTAAATCTTGAAAAGACTAGACAGAAAAAGTGTACTGTAATGCAGCATTTCTTTGAACTGCTTTTTTTTTTTTAAATGTCACATAATGTACAACTTCAAAACTAGCAAAATTGTACAAATGTTGAGGATTTATAGCTTTGATAACCTGAAAGGAAGGACAAGAACAATTGTAGCCAAGCAATTCTCCTTCTTGACAATAATTGTTTACCTTTCTGTGCATTTTCTGTTTCAATTGCACAAATATACTAATACACAAATCCCTGCAAAACAACTAGATTGATGCATAAAGTTGTATATTTTTCACAAAGTGTGTTTATATTTGTTTGTGTTATTACTGATTTTTTTTATTGGTAGTCCTATATTGGTTCAGATACTTACATAAATAAAAAAGAAAGGATAATGATAAAGAAAAAGGGCACAATCAGATGAAAAAGACCAAGAGCAATAAAAAAGAAGGTGAAATTAATAAAATAATGGAAAGTGGAGAGAAGAAAACATGGTGGGGCGAGGTTGAGTAAGAGCCGTTGCTTCTGAGTGACGAGAGGGTGGAAAAAAACAGATAAAAGGAAAGGGTTTAATAATGCAGCGGTCAGCTAGGATCCTACGTTTGTACTATCACTGGAGCTGTGTAAAGGAAGGTCAGCTAATCCATTACACAAAAAAATACAGCACTCTAATAAATACATTACACTTTTTCTTTAAGAAAAGCCTATCAGAAAATATTTTTGTGATAACCATAATCCGAATTCTTTAACAGTGAGATTTTCATACAGTAAAAGTTGGAAAACAATAAAGTCCGTCCTCCCATGAAGCCTCGCAAGATACAAGTTAGCAGCATCTGAACGGTGATGAGCAACAATCACCTTCATGGAGTCGAGCACCTGTGGGTGCTGCCAGTCGGTCAGAGAGGTTTAGGGTTAGGAGACTACAGTTGTTGAGAAAGACAACCCTCCAACCCACTGCAGTACTTGGAGGGGTTAATAAATTGCGACACCCCACTTTGGCTAAAATATTCCCGAGGTAGCTCTCAGTTCCATCTAGCAGTGTGGAAAGTGAAAGACTATCTAGCTTAGTGTCTAACGTTGTAGCTGAAAACCAAAACCAATCACATATTTTTTATTAAAAAACATGCCCCTCATTTTTTAAAAATAGGCTTCACAGACTGATTAAAATATAATTAGGAGCTGAACAAATAGCTTTATTTCCATATTGTGCCTATTAAAATGTATTCATTTTTTTGGATGTTTTACCTATTTATTGCTTTTACAAATCAATCATAATGAACAAAATTAAGTTGTTGTTTTTTGACACAACAAATGACAAAAGAAAACTTTTTTAGTATTACAAAGGGACAACTGATTACTACAAAAACAATAATGAATAAAAGAACATAGATATGTGACTGCAAAAATATTTACTAGCTTCAAGGCAGTATTTATTAAATGCACCTCTGGCTGCAATCAGCACAGAGTTTGTGTGGATGGGTCTCAACCAGACCTGCACATCTGGATGCAGATGTTTTACTCCATTCTTTCTTGAAAAACACTAATAGCTCAGCTTTTGTGGGGATCAGCTATAAATGACACTTTTCAAATCCTTTAACAAATTCTCTACGGAATTAAGGTCTGGGCTTTGACTGGGCCACTCCAGAACATACACCTTGCTGTCTGAATGCTTCAAGTCTTTATCAATGGCTTTTGAACCAGCATGAAAGAAGTAAATTTATTTGTTTGAGTAGTTCTATGACATAATTTATATTATTGTGTTTATGTTTAATGCTTTTCTACAATATCTATTAAGTCCTTCGGTGAATTGCTCTGTTTTTAGAGTGCTTAAATAAAGTAGTCCTGGCTTAGAGAAAGTATCAAAAAGTACAATGTGCACCTAACACCTTACCTTTAACCATTGTTTCTCATCAACAATTTAAACCCTCATAAAAAGGTGGGACATCTGGGATAAACCTGCTAATTTCTGATTGCATAGACACATTTTTCCTACCTCTGGTCTGACAGGATCCTCGATTCCCACAACGCAGATGGCTGTAAGGTCAGTGAGGATGTTGTTCTCATCATCCCATTTGGGCTCAGGATCACTGGCAAAGTCACGGTACGCCACACAGATGGTCCTCAGGCCGTTACAGGCCATGGGCTCAATCACCTTCTTCACCATCTCATCCTTGTCTCTAGGCCGGAAAACTCTGGGCTCACCAACTTCATTCAGAATGTGACTGCATCTGAAACAAAACAGTGAAGCCTGTTAAAAACCTGAAAAGTGTCTTTAATTTGTAAAATGATAGCACTGTAGAGTAAAGATCTTCACTAAACCTCAATAAACAAACCATCCATCCAAACATGCATCCATATAAAAAGTATTTTGATTCAGTGAAAAGCTACAAGAAAAATACCCAAAATTAACCAACAAAGCAATCCAAAATGTGGACAGATGCAGTGTAACGAAGAAAGGTAACCAATAAAGTATAAACATAAAGAGTAAAAACAACCCAAGAAAGTACCAGGGTTAAACCTTGTATGGGTTACATATTGTCACACATCATATCGCTATTATTTTTGATTAATATTAAGTGTAAATGAGATACTAAAGGGAACAAACATCCTCCCTTCCCATCATGTAATCTCATGTAGTATACAGTAAAAACACAATTTTGAAATTCCACTGAAAGCTCAGCAAAAAACTGTCAAAAGTCACAAAACTTTACCTAAAGTTTTAACAGCATGTCTTCTTTAAACTCAGTTAGTCTAAATAAACAGTACCGAACAACTACACCATCACTAAAATATCAGCGTTACCTTACTGTATCCAATAAATTAACAATTTATTTGTTGTAACAATGCTCCTTGTTTAAAGAGAAACAAACAGGCCTTTTCAACAGGCTTAATTTTTGCGCCAAGTACCCAGAATACTGGACTCACTTCTTGAGAACAATTTCAGAGGCTCCCTTGCTGTACATTCGGAAGCTCCCTTCAGGAAGTTTGATTACAGTGCTCATCGATTTTCTGACAGAGTTGAAGGTGTAGACTTTATAAAGCTTCTCCTCTGGGATCTGGTTTCTGATTGGCTGGTAGTCCCGTTTCAGGTCCAGGACCAATCCCAAGAGTCCGCACTCAGTCTTGTTTCCAACTTGCTTGGGCAGACCACCTTCCTTATCTGGGGGCTGAAGAAAAACACAAGTAGAACACGTGCAACTCTCTTTAAGTGAACTAAATCAAAACCCCAGACAAGGCATAAGAACCACTTTGTTCAATTTCATTCAGTGATAACTGACCAGCAAGCAGGTGACGGGGTTGACGTATGGGAGAGCAAGAGATGAGACAGACAGAATCAAATTTGGACGTTCTTATTTCAGGCGAGCAGCTCAACCCTTCATGTAATTACATGTTTAGAAACATACAATTACTGTATATGGCTCAGTAAACATTCAAATGTATAACCAACAAAATAAAGCAGCATCTTAGCCATCTTCTTCTTCCTTTGCTTTTTCTGCTTATCGCTGTACTACATCCTAGATTCAACACCATTCGCTTTCATAAACAAAACAAGGTAAAAACATTATTTCTTCAATTACTTATTCACTCAAGTACTTCTCTCATATCTATTTCTTATTTACGTTGTTAGTCGGTCACTTGCTTGACAAATAAAGAAAGCCACTGCCTTGTAGAGCACCAGCAGAGTAGATAGTTTAAATGGAGCCAAACAGAAATAAAAGTGAGATCAAAAGCGTAAAGTAACAATGTAAGTGTGTTTGCACAGAAAAAAAAAAGAGTCTTTTCTGACATGTTGAGACATCATCAGCTGTAAACGTCACAAGCCTATGGGACAACAATGTAATATGCATTTTTAAATGACTGTAATTGCAATAAAGAAACACAAATCAATAACTGCTTGGAAGAAACATAGCAAATAAAGTTATTGCAGCAGAAGGAGTCGAAGGTAAGCAGTTAATAATCACCTCATAATTGGTTTTCAGTACAAGTAGAACAACTTACATTGTTTTTTTTTGTCAATACATTTATTTAATATGGTTTATTTTCCATGTTATGATAGTTAAATTGTCTTATATTAGGATGTCTAACATAAAAATGATAATTTTTGTTATATATATATATATGAAGAAATTGTTATGATGTAGTGCTCTTTTTTTTCAGCTCTAAAGCTGGAAGGGGACTTTCTCCACAGTCTTACAGTAAAAGACGCATGACGTTTCACTGACCAGTTCAAATCATGTGTGCATGTGGCCTGTGAGGTTCTACAGTACATGGCGGACTGCTGTGTGCTCACTGTATGTGCAAAGCGAGTGAGTGTGGTCAGCTTGTGTGAGGCTCAGCGTTCCCATGGTAACGCTGGGCAAAGAACACTTGGCAGTTGAGACTTGAGAATAGAGCGACTGAGATTTCCACCACTTGGGGATTCTTTTTACTCGCTGGCTCCGATTCTCTTAAAACATTCTCTCTCATTTCACTTCACACATGTCCTCAAATCTTTTCTGCTTTGCTCTTTATGGTTGTTTTTTTTCCCCCCAGCATTCCTTTATTAGTATTTCCTGAGCCTTACTCTATTTGGAAGCTGTCTGGGTCCAAATATCTGCTGCTGTGACAGAAAACTAAACGCATTATCAATATTTCAGACAAACTTGAGCTTTAGTGACACTGACGCTCACACGTCTGGCCTCACAAGACACACTGATGAGAATGCAATTCACTCTGTCGCTTTTCATAACACTTCTACACACAATCACACATTCTGAAGCTGATTTAAATCACAGCCTTACTGTTCCTTGTCAACACAAATAAGTAGGCAAGTTTAGACGGAATTTATATTTTAAATGGTTTTTATTTATATTATCAACGCAGTCTGCACTGTGAGGTTTCTATTTTAATTTATTTCACTGCAAAAAAAAAAGTAATTTTCTTTTCAGTTTCATTTATCTTTCTATTTTTACTAGTTAAAATCGTAGGTGGCACATTTAGTGAACATTTCAAATCACCTTCAGCTTATGTCACTAAGTAAAACTATGAAAAAACAACAACAATACGCTCAGTTTCTTTAAGATGTAGGAATACTTTAGCAAGACCTCGTTGAAAACACAGTAAGTTATACATCAGTGAGGCAGCCGCAGTTTTTCCATTTCTTCAGCTGAGAACCTGCATGTACAACCGAGGAGTTGCAAAGTCCTCTAAAATCACATTAATCATTAAAACCTAAACACCAAACACGTCAACTCATTTAATGTATCTGGTTATTTCTTTAGCTGCGTGTCATAAACACAGACAAGAAAATAAATATTTTATACTGAGTTTGCGTTAAATAACTGAATTAATGCCTCTTCCTAATGACCAGTGATTACATCAGGAAGGGACTGCCTGTCATTGGATAATGACAGGATGGAATAAATGGCCTCATCAGCATTGTCTGGTGGGGTTTCGAGGAATCAGCTCTCTGCTGAAACATCCAGTTAAACAACTAAGCCACAAATAGCCACATAGTCTATATTGAAGCTTTGAACAAGCTACAGAAATATAGTTGATACAGATACAGAGGATATAGACATTGCCACATGACGACTGAGGAAAGAGAAACATATTGAAATAGCGATAATAAATACAGGACACAAACAAACACTGCTTTAGGTTTCCAAAGACCTCGTCAAGATTTTTTTTCTTTATGCTAGTTTTACGCACGAGGATAGTAGCTGGCAGGAAACGCCAAGCGTTGGCATGACAGAGCTACTGCTGGCATGTCCTGGCCTGGATGTGGCTTAGGACCAGCTGCCCTCTCCCTGGTCCTTGGGTGATCCTGCAGGCAAGGACATATGCCAGAGGGAGAGCTGGCAACTTTACTTCCTATTCCACCCAGGGCTCTCCTTAATCCATACTTCATGTTCCTTCCTTCTCTCTTGCCATTTTCTTGACACACCACCCGGCGATTTACTGCCTTCCTTGTGCCTCAACGTACATTTTCCTCCTCGTTCTCATTTTTTCACATCTCATTCCTCTTCTCTTGCTGACTTTTCCCTCAACCTTATCAATTTCCCCTGTCTTACAAGGCCCCCCGACCCGTTAGCCTCCACTTCTGTCTTAGTTGCGTATTGCATGAAGGACCAGAATACACTGTAGCTTTCCATACAGTTAGACCAGCCAACCAGGCTAAAGCCTTGGGTGTGCTGGGAGCACAAATAAAGCCTAACAGTCTATTATAAGAATGTTTGTCATGCGACTGCAGTTTCTCTCTTTTCTACTGTTTTTCTTTATCTAAATCTCACTGTGCTTCCCAATGCATCATCACGTTACGGTCTTTTTCAAGGCTTTTCCATACCCATTTATTACAATTTATTTTATGTGTCTTAACATTACTCACTCTACAACTAAAATACAAAACTTCAGATACATTTTTATTAAAATCAATCTCTGGCAAGAAGAAAAAAAAAAAAAAACACATTGAACTCAGTACATTAGTATTTCCAAATTTCTGAGTCTGTACTCTATCACTAATAACACAATTAAAGTTACTAAAGAAGATATTCATGCTGTGGTGCAGTCTGTCTGAACATCCTATGTTTGATGACATTACGACTCCACAAAATAGAAATTCTGCAGACGTTTAACTAAATCACCTAGCAGCCTTCATGCTGAAATTGGATACATTTTTGCTATCATATTGCAAAGTCTAACACTGCATACTTAAACTGCTCTGTGATGACTAATTGGTGATAGTTACCAAGGTCAATGAATGTGGATCAATTGTAGCAAGAAAATTAAGATGTAGAAACAGAGAGAGAAAGTCCATTAAAGTTGTGCTGCTATTGAAACTGGACCTTCACGGTGGTGCAGATGGTAGAATTGTTGCAGGAAAGTCATGCGTTTGAATCCCGACCTGCCGTCTTTCTGCCTGTTTTCAGTGCGCATGTTCTCTCTGGGTTCTCCAGGTTCCTCTGACAGTCAGAAACATCAAAGTTAGGATAATTAATCTCTAAATTGTCCTTAGGTATTTATGGTATTCTTGCCTGTTTGTTGTGTTTTGTTTTCTTTGTCCCGTGACTCCCTATGTTGCCTTATGACTCCCTGGCAATCTGTCCCCACCTTTCACCCTTATCGGGTGAAAGGTCCTTCACTCATGTGGCTCCTGTGGCTCCCACTCCATTTTATAGTCAAATTTAGGCTTTTATTATTGATCTTTAAAGTTTTACATGGCCTTGCATCCTCATATTAATGTGGCTTACTTAGAAGTTACACTACAGTCAATCAACCAGTTTCTCTTAACTGCTCCAAGATCTGAGATGAATTATAGAAGTGATCAAGCTTTTGCAGTGCTTGTACCAAAACTCTGACCAGGCTGCAACCCAATATGAAAAGGACTGAGAGTATTGAATCTTTTATATCAATGTGTACTATTTACTTTTTTTTTTTATGGGCTTTTAACATTTGTTTTAATGACATATGCTATAGTACTAATAGCCAAACAAGAAGCTGGAGCCTATTTTAATTACAAACTTTAAATTGCTGTTTGAAGAAAGACCATATCAATTATTTTATAATAGTTCTACTTCTATCTACATGGCACAATGTTTTATTATTATTATTATTATTATTTTTTTTTTTTTACAAAACACTAAGCTTAAAAACAACACAATGGGAATGAATAGGGAGCATTTCCACCTCTCTCTTCAGTGACCAAAAAAATGACCCGAGCAGGTGGTTAAATCTACGTGAAACTGAGCTCGGAGGACATTCACACAGCCGTGCTAAACATACCACTGTGCTGCAGGAACACACACCTGTGGTCTGAGTGCTTACAGCAGAGATATGACAGATGTGTGTATGAGTGATAGGTCCATATCGCTGCAAAATACACTCTGTTTTCCACAAACTATTTTAATGTCAATAAAATGGTTCCGAACCACTGGATGTGAGATGTGCAGCTATGTGAAATTAACTGATTCCACTGAAAGCTGTTCATCTTTGTGTACCGTGAATGAATGAAATACTGTGGGGAAATGTGCGTTCCTACAGACTGTGGAGTGTGATCTCCTATTCAGATTGCATAGATAAGGGTAAACTTCAAAATAAACAATATCCGTTACAAAATGTTAACGTGACTATAGTATTTTGTGGTTGTGAAGCTTTTTTATGTGTAAATTTTTCCTCAGACAACAAGGCCTTCTCCAGTTATTATTGCACCATGCATGTGCTGATTGAAGAGACGGTGATATAGGAGGAGCTGTATTATGATGCCATAGAGCACTAGAGGCATTGATATGGTATCAAAGCCTGCCTCTTTTGCCTTTGTGCCTTTATGTGGTGGCCATCAAAGGCTCCCATAGCCATTCTTGCATCCCACAGGACTGGCCTCTTATATAAGAACACACCAGCAAGCATACTGCAGAGCTGGAGTGGCACTGAGGGAGTGGAGGCGGCTGAGGGAGGGAAAGAGGAACAACCGGCATATTACTCAGAAATCTCTCTTCTGAATCTTACTGTTTGTCTGTTTGCCCCCTAATTAATCTGTCATTTCCCATCATACTTTTCTTTTGTTCCATGTGCTTCTCTATACTTTAAGTAAAGTAATATGATGGATCCTAAAGGACAAAGTGATAGTTGCCTATTACTGTCAATTCCTGGCAGAAATTCCTTCAAAAACAAACAGATGTAGCATACTCCTGGAAATAATTATGCAGGCCATTTTTGTATTTTTATGTTGCTTTGTCCAGTCACCTTGCAAATGTAAAACTAATAAAATACAAAGAATAAAGGCAGTATTTTATGAAATTATTATTGGTACAAAATTATCTCCCTCAACGTCAAAGACAATTTAGCAGACATTGCTGTGATAGGATTGCAGAAATAAAGGCAGTTTTGGGATCCAATACCACTGACTTAAAATAGTTGTCAGACTCAAATTTAACTCACAAATCATTTATATTTGTTACTTTTGTAATTCTGTAGAGGGCAGGAAAAACCCTTAAAACCCCCCCACTAAATGCGAAGCAGCAAAGAAGCAAAACTTAACAGGTTGTCCACTTTGATTATAATAATAATAATGAAATACAGGTAAGAAAATAGCAATAGCATTCCTGGTAGTTTAATATAACTCAATGTTTCATATAAGAGAAGTTTTGGGTAATTCCTGCTTCACGGCATCGCTCTGCTCTGGGACCTCTCCACACTTCCATGCATAGCTGTGTAATGCCTAAGGCAGGGTAGACGGCAGCAAAGGCCTCTTAGTGTACAGATCAGAGCTACTTCTATGATAGACATGAAATTGATAAGGCCTGACAAAGTTTAGGGATCGAACTGGAGGGCGAGGGCAAGGAAGCTAGCTAAAGAAGCTGCATATGCAGGCAATTTATTATACGGCCTTGCAAGTTGATTCCACTAACTCTCACAGACAAACAGCTAATTGATCAGCTTCTGGGCACTAATGCTAAAATCAGACTCGCATAAAAGCTAGGCTCGACTGCTTATGGTTTAAGTTGGATTAATAATGTTTGAAACAAAGACTCTTCCTATAGGTGGGCATTGCTAACTCCATGGGTTTTAAGGTTACCCTAAGGTCGTCCTTTACTTTGTTAAAGGTAAGCTTTTTCAAGAATGAAGAGATTAAAATAAGACTCTTTTCAGTATCTAAATGTGCAGTGCTGCAATCTAGCTACAAAGGTCTGATGTAATGCTGAAAAGGCTTCTCAAAGAATCATATATGAGTCTAAGGGAACCACAATCATACAATTATTCAGTATTTTTCAACCACTCTGTACACAAAGTATTTCATTTGACTCTCATTTTCTTATTTAAAGAATATCTGTTGACAGCTTCTCATCACAAATGACTCACTACAAACTGTTGTTTACCAAACTACAGACAATATTTTCCATTCAATGATTCTGCGCTCAAACAATCCGTGATCTGTCAATCTGTTATTTTAAATGTGAAACATAATACAAAGATTATAGAATAAGGTCACAGAACAATTCAACTGATTTTTTTTTTAAAACTTATGTACTTGGTGTGAGTCTATGTGCTTCGATGCCCTGTAACTTTGCTGCTGCTACACCTGAATTCCCTCACTGTGGGACACTACAGGATATTTCTATTCTATTCTTTTTATGCTATTTTATTTCAGCTTTGACAGTCAAGATATTTCAGATTCTGAACAGAACAAACCCCTTAAAGCAAAAACAGTCTTTCCTTCAGCTGTCTGTCTGATAAATCTTTGCGCACCAAGTCTTTGTTTTGAGTACTTGGTAGACACTGAACCACATAAGACTTTTAATCATTGCCTTAATTGTTTAACGTTGTTGTGATTATTTAGAGTCATTCTTCAGAGTCTGTTTCTTCTTACATGCAGGTCCAGTGAGCTTAAACAAAAATCTCTGCCTACTGCTCTCACTGTAAACAAGAGACCATCTCCAGCACTTAGACAGATTGGATTCAATTACAGTCTGCTACGCTCTGAATATCAGATAAGACAAAATTACACAACTGTTCTCAAGGTGACAAGTTGAGTGAATGCCTGGTGAATCTAAAGCAGCAGCCAAGGACAATGACTGCATACTTTTCCAAGATGAGAACACTGCAGACCTGGTCTCATTATAAGGCCTCAGAGCTGAGACTGAAGCACTTTTCCCAGGACATTCAATTCTTACACATCAGAACGGCAGAATATCAATTACCTGTGTTTGTAACAAATATTTAAATTATGGGCCAACCTGATAACTGGGTAGCAGAAACCATCAATATAAGAGCTTACCAGTATCTTTGTGGTGTAGGCGCTGTTGATAGAAATGGCATTGATCAGTAAATCCAGGGATTTGGGTGGGATTACACCAGGGTCTGGAATTTCTTTGTAGTGCACATCTCCTACATAACACTGCACGGCTGTCATGCGGTTGGTGGTTAGCGTGCCTGTCTTGTCGGAGCAGATGGCGGTTGCATTGCCCATTGTTTCACAAGCATCCAGGTGACGCACAAGGTTGTTGTCTTTCATCATTTTCTGTTGGCAGGATAAACAGACGCATCTCAAAACAGTTGAAAACACAAACCAAATTGTTCCTTAAAATAACCCATCTGGCACATGCACCACTTGATATTCATTGGTGACAGTTGTAAGATGATCACGTCTGCATTTCAATGTATATTCAGACACGTAATTGGACAGTAGAAAAAAAGAATGAAAAAAAAAAAATCAGCACAATATTTAAAGTGTTTTGGATGCTGTGAATTGGTGTTTCGGTATCAGAACGCAAAAATTAACATGCTGAAATTTCCACACATAGAAATAATTATGGGACATGTATACAATTTTTTAACAAGATAATTAAAATTTGTATAACCAAAAACAAAAATTCAAACTGTCTGAACTGCAAATTATTTTTACAGTCAAGAGCAGGACTACCGACTAATTGCATGCCGTACTCGGTGCTAGTTTTTCCTTACCTTGACTGAGTATGCCAAGGATATGGTCACAGCCAGTGGGAGACCCTCTGGCACAGCCACCACCAACACAGTCACACCGATGATGAAAAACTTCACAAAGTACTGGATGTAGATTGGAGTGCACTCTGTCATCCAAGGACGCTTCTCCAACACAAAGTTGTTGATGGCAAAATACAGGACCAAGATGATTACAGTAATGGCTGACATGAGCAAACCTGGAAGACATGAAGAAGGAGTCCAGTGAGAAAAGGCATAATAAAAACATAGAAGATTGTAAAGCCCCTTGACTAATAATCCAGGTGATAAGGCTGGTTGTTTGTTCTGTGCAATTAATTGTAAGGCAAACTCTTTATAATTATGGAAGTTGATGCCTTTGTGTTTGCACTGGTTGAAACATTGGGTCATTGTAAGATATGTACACATTTTACCACATTGCATCATAAGAAATCCATATTAGGTCTCTATCAACTTCTGTGGAGCATTAGAATGAGGTCTAGTAGATAAATCCTTTGTGTCTGGTAACCTTCAATGATTTTAGTTGAATGTTAGATCTAGATGCTCAGCTCTGCTGAGATAATACTGTTTTTCAGTGCACCTAATAAAACACCTAAATTACTTCCTCACAATGTCATCAATTGTCAAAGAGGCCTGATATTAAGCCATCCATTCTTTCGTGTTTGAACAGGGATGAACTTAAAAGCTGCAGGACAGTAACTCTCATTTGCGCCAATCATTTATGGCAGGGGTCCCCAAACTACGGCCCGCAGGCCGAATCCGGCCCGCCTCCACATTTGGTCCGGCCCCCTGATTTATGGTAAACTGATTTATGGTAAACTATTTAAAAAAGGAATTATTTTCTTATTGCTAGTCTGGACATGCACCAAATTACAACCAGAAGGTGTCCAATTCCATCTGGGTACCATCAGATTTTTACATCCTTTTGTTACATTGACCAATTAATGAGGAGAACTTTGGTGATTCCAGGAAATCTAGATATTCTCACTGGTTTAAATATAAGAGATCCCTGCAGCCTGTTTTGATAAGAACATAATCAACAGTGGACTTATATAATTCTGCAGCTCAAGCCACAACAATGTGTCCCATTGTTGGTGTGTGGTAACTGTATTAACAAAGTATTCAAAGTATTTGTCCCATTATCGATTTCCTTATGCTTTGTTTTGTTTCAGCACTTAAAACCATTGTAAACAATTTCAATACCAGAAAAATATGACTCTAGGAAAAACAAAATGAGAGGGAAAAAGATATCTAAACAAGACTGAACCCATGTGGAAAAAGTAATTGCCATCTAAGAATAAAAACTGAGTTGTGCAACATTTGGTGGCAACAACCACCTTAAGATGTTTTGCACGAATTGACAATCAGTCTTTCACATCACTGCTTAGGAATTTTATCCAATTCTTTGCACAAGTGTTTTATTTGAGCAATAGTGGAAGGTTTTCAAACATGAACAGCCAGTTTAAGATCAGACCACATCATCTTATTTCTAGTGAAGTCTGAACTTCGACTAGGCCACTCCAGAACCTTCATTTGGTAGCCATTTAGAAGTGGACTTGCAGGTGTTTTTTCATCATTACCTGCTGTGTAACCAGCTGCGATTGAACTGAAAGTCATGACCTGATGGCTGGACATTCATGCTTCTATCAATTATGTCAAGTCCCAATGTTGACACATCCCTCCACTTCCTGTGACAATCGTGGTTTTAGTCTGGCGATGCCCCACTTATGCAAGGTAAGCTGTAAATGAGCTGTGAGCACACAGCAGATGTAAATAGCCCACTATGTTGTCCTCCAAATGAACATTAGGCAAAAGGAGACAAAGGGGCAAATTGACACAGAGCCGGAAGAAAAGCAGTGCTGTGCTTTTAACTGGCTGGCTAGCAGCCATGTATATGAGTGAATTCTTTACAATCGCTTCATTCAGTCCAAAGAAACGCTGACGGACAATAATCATTCTCAGTCTACTCCTGTATTTGTATTCACAAAGAAAACAGTTTAAGATCCTGCTCTAAATACATCATTGACCCAGGTGACTGAACTATGCTGTTTATTTACTTTAACATGTGACAATAATACAGTGGACTAAACTTATTATAAAGTCTCTAAATATAAAGATACCAAAGAACAAAAAGTATTTTTCAGTTAAATATCAACAAAGTGCTCATCTCCTCTCACATGACAGGAGAAATTACAGTAAATGGCAGAAGACCAATCATCAGGAGGCAGGTGCTTAATCGGCTGCTCAGTCAGCTCAGCCTCACTGGCTTTGTGGCCCATACGTCCTCATGTGCCCAGACAACAGCATATGAGGACGTATCGCTCCTTGTCGGTCTTTACATAAATCTTTGCAGTATTCTGAAGTTTTTTAGTTTGTTTTATGTTCCTTTCCGGTCAAAAAACAAAAGGTTAAAATATCTTCAAAGTGGTGAGGTAAGGCTGTTATGTCCAGATATTCAGTAGAAACCCTGTATGAGGCAAAAGCATAATTTTTATGCTAATCCATTCATGGTATTTCAATGTGCTGACACCATGTCCCCATTCTATCAGTCAGGCAAACACTAATATCACCAGATATTCTAAAAGCAAGCCCTACTTTAAGGAACTCTCTAAAAAAATTAAATAAATCATGACATTTTTTTGGGACATTGTTCAGCTATAATCCCACCGCATTGCTGCTTCAAAGACATCCCCACACCAAGTCAGAAACATTAGGAATACTCGCAGTTGTAAACTTTTACTTGGCATCAACATCTCCACATCACTGCTCAAATTACACAAAATAAAAAAACAACAGATGAGAATAAATGAATATCGGACCTAAACCAGTCACAGTCACTGTTAAAAATCAAGACCCTCAAGTCCAGCTCTCTCAAAAAAGTAACAAACAGGCTTTCAGAGTTCAATAATGTAGACACTTTAGTCTTCTTCTGCAAAGCCTTAATTCCTTCAAGCAACTGCAAACTACCCCCATTTTGTACAACATATTTGCTTGACAGACAGGATGATGGTTCTGCACCTTGTTGTTACTGATTTTCTGCCTGAATGACTGATGGATATGTCTGGGTGCAATTTGCTGTACCTGCTTTGCCGATCTGGACAGCTAGTTTGGTCAGCTTCCCCTGGAGCACAGACTTCTCTTTCTTTGGAGCCGACACCTTTTTCCGCTCCTTCTCGTCGGCCTCCCCGCCTTCAGCACTCTTCAGAGGTTGCATTTCCATGGCAGCTGCTCCATCCGGCTTCTTCACTGTAAACAGCGTAAGAAAAAAAAAAAAAGGAAAAAAAAAAAAGAAAGAAATCCATTGTTAGTGACTGAATGAAGAAAAATGACACGATTAGAAGGATTTACACTTAAGTGCGATACTTTCTCTGGAACAGTCAGTACCGACATGGAAATTGTAATTCAAACCATCAAAGAATAGAAGAGTCCAAGACAGGAGTGTGAAATCCACACAGCATCTAGAGGCTTGTTAAATAGTGAAGGAGGATCATTTAAAAGAACATATTTCACGTAATTAATAATATGCACAGAAAGATGTGTTTTACACAGAAATGCCATTTAACCCAAAAAATAACAGGAATACACTCAGAAAGAAAAAAAAAAAGAAAAAAAAAATCAAATATGGTCATGGTTTTAATTGTAACAGAACTTGTATTTATTTATGTTTTCTTCTTGCCATGTACATTTCTGCAAGTCATTATTTTTGTCTTTTTTGATTGCTACTAAAACTACTCAAGCCCTCAGGACTTTATCAGATTTTCTAACATTACCCCCACACACTTCGGGGTCTTTTAGTGGTCCGTCTCATTTATGCAAAAGGGCCAACATAACATAGTACACAACTGAGAAGTGGAAAAATACTTAAACATGGTTTTCAACATTACAAATAAACCTCTCAATTGAATTCAACAACAACGAGTTTATAATATTTACATCTCCATTTCGGTGCAATTCCAACTCAGCTAGCTGTGCAATAGCTACATTTTATTGCCTTTTCTTCTTTGCAGACTAGTTCGAGCTCAAACTGAATGGAAAATGCCAATGAATATGAACAGGAGTTTTCAAGTAGTTTAGCACCTTCTTCCATCTCTTTGCTGACTTGTGGCATCCAGCAAACATGCTTTCTTCTTGCCACTTTCTTCAGGGCAGATTGTTGTAGTTGATGGCTGTTATTCTGTCAAGAGCTTCTTCTACCTGAGATGTGGAACTTTACAGCTTCTCCACGGGGCTCTTGGCTGCTTCTTTAATTAATGCCATCCTTGCCCAGGATGTCTGTTTAGTTGGATAGCAATAACTTATTAGGTTTGCAGCTGTCTTCTATTTTCCGTTTTTAGATGATTGACTAAATGATCTGTGAGATGTTCAAAGCTTTGGATTTCCATAACCTTTAACAGGCTTTAAACTTCTCCACACATTCCTTGGTGTTTGTAATGCCGTTTGTTCACTAACATTTTCGAACAAACCTCTGAGACCTTCAAAGAACAAGTGCACTTCCTTGTGTTGATCAATCACATGTATACGACACCGATACATTATTGTAGCTTGACAAAATTCACTTGGTCATCTTCTACACTGCCAATATTCAGTCTGTCCTGTGCACAGTCATCATCGTTTGGTTTGTCTCATCCACAGAACAGGAAAGTCCAGACTGCAAACAACAATTATGTCTGCAGAGAGGACCATCAGGACTGACCTGTCCTCCATCCAGGACATGCACAGGTCAGGAAAAGGGCAGCTGACAGCTCTGCAGACCCCACATGTCTCAGGCACAAACTATTTTAACTTTTACCTTCAGGTCAGTGCCACAGAGAACCAAGCAACCAAGGAGACAGTTTTGTCTCCCCAGGCTGTCTTTCTGATGAAAACAGTGAATACTTTGCAGCCACAGTAGTCAGCTTTCCCGATGTAAGCATATTATACTATGACAAACTGCCCTTTTTTAAAACTTTTTCTATCAAAAAGGCTGTACATACTGCTCTTTGTATATATATATATATATATATATATATATATATATATATATATATATATATATATATATATATATATATATATATAATTCAATATTCACACTATATTGAGACAATATTCAATATAAATAATACAAAAATTATGTCTTTGCCTTAGATCTTTGACCACGAGACACACATGTCTGAATGTGACAATGGCTCTTACAAATCAGGTCATTACATCTACAGAAATTAAATCATTTTCCACAGCAACATCATCACTGACCTATTTGCAGAATGGCATTTATTGGTAGAGATGTTTAGAAGATTCTCTTTTCAAATTGTATAACGTCATTATAGGAATATCATCACCTGCTTTAATAAATTGAAGCTTTTAAAAAAAAGGGAATATGCTGGAAACCAATAGCCATAAAAAAAATAAAAAAATAAAAAATGTCCAGACCATCATGGTATCAAACACCATATTCTGAAACACATGATGATACATGTACAGACCCATTCAACAAATTCGAATAATCCTGAATTTACTTTAGGAGCTTTATCACCTTATATAGATTAACTACACACAGATGGATGTTTAAAAGCATTTATTAGTTAGCTTTGATGATTTTCCACTTACAGGTAATAAAAAAACATTACATTTAAAATTGGGATATTACATCAGACCAAAAAAAAAAAAAATCAACTATTTTTAAAATAGTGAAACATATGTCTCCTACCTGTTTAAAAGTTATTTTCAAAATGGTACAAACGGGCCTCATCTTAACATCTTAAAATAGAACTGCTATTCTAAATTACTGTATATGACTGTGCATTACAAGCACAATATATCACCTCTGCTGTCAGCTAAAAAGCAATTGATTTTCTGTCAACCTTAAGCCATATAAAATATTTAATGGTGTGGCAAGGATGAGGTACTCTGTGAAAAAGAAATTATGAATGATAAAAAAAATATTGCTCTGATAGTAAAAGAAGGTGGAGACGAAGTAACAGACTTCTGCCGTTACCCTCTTTTCATCTCCGTTTCCCTCTGACACACACATCCTCTCCTTCTCCGTTAATGCACTCTATTACCAAGAATCATCACAGATTAATTCTTCTACCACAATGAGGCATGCATTGATGGTCATAAAAACACAAATTTAATGTGGCACATTTGCCTCAGTCAGTGGTTGTGCATTTTATTTTTCTGCATACATAATTCTCTTTATCTAACTTTGATTAAGCAAATGAGAGATTGCCTAAACCTGTAAGTGGTTCAATACCTTTTTTAAACAGATGACATACCTTCATGGACATTTCACCCAATTATAAACCAGACTGATTTATTATTACTTTTCCATGATGCCACACAAGGAAGCGGTGCATTTGAAACGCTGCTTTATACCATAATTTCCGGACTATTGAGCGCACCCGAAAATGAGCTGCACAAATTAACTTTAAAAGAAGAAAAATAAATACATAAATCAAACTCCTGTAGGTCACACTTGTTTATAAACCCCAGTTATCTACATAAAAATGTTTTTATTGTTATATGTAGTGTAATTTTATTTATTTATTTCCAAACAGTACCTGCAACACAAAATAGCTGATTATAAAACTATTTGATCGTAATCTTAATTTTCTTCCTGGACACTAAAACCACTAAAGCTGACTTATCTTGCATTTCCTACACACGCTTCTCTGAGCACTTCTATGGGTTGCAGCAAAGTGGCGCGGCAAGTAGCGTAAATCTGGGTTCACACACACTTTTTCAGATTCTTTCACTGTCGCTCTCAATGTCACTTTTGCTCTTGAGCTTATACTGTCCTCTTCATCATGCAGAAGTCCAGCCTTTCAAAACTACTAGGTAAAAAGATGTATTTTCACCGCATTGCAGTGTTCAAAGTGTGTGAAATAGTGCAGCATATAGTCCGAAAATTACAGTACATGCACAAGTGTGCTTCTACAAAAGAACCTTACAAAGCCACCACATTATCATGTAGGCCTTCAGAATTGTTTAAAGGAATAATAATTTTAGGCAACAACTTTCAATGAAGCAAAAAACAAGTAAAAAAAAAAAAAAAAATCTCATTCTGGTATGAAGCAAATACTAAAACTAGTTGACCTAAAACAGGAAAGGTTTAATCTGATTCAGACAGACAGTGAAAAGAAATGTGTTTCTACACAGTGCAGGTAGCTAGTTTTAAATCTATATCCAGAGGATTGCACAAAAAACCCAAAATCAATGTGCGTACATCTGGTTGCAGGATTTAAAATATTGAGTTTTTCTCTTTCAGGGAAATATTGACCTATTTCTAATTTCATCTTACATTACAAGAAAAAAGAATAAAATGGAGGATAATTTTCTTTAATGCCAAACCAAACTATGTTACATAAACAGATATAAAGCATTTAAAGCAGTATTTATTCCAAAATCGATGCGAAGTGAAAGATTTTTTTTTATGTTTTCAGGGTAAAATAGAGTAGTTTGAGTGAACTTGACACAGAATTGCAAGGCGACAGGCTGCTATCCTACCAGAAAGAACAAGATGAGCCGACAACAAAATGAGAACGAGGGAACATTAGACCACAGACAACACAGCAGTGACAGGCAATGAGGGAGTTAAAAGAAGGGTATTTTGTAACCTAAAGTGATTGTGGGTAATAAACCTTGGTCAAATAATGTTTCTGATCTCATCTCAGAGTCTAAAACTGGGCACAACCAGTGAAAGACTCCAATGTCTTCAGATTACATACTGAATTAGAACTGCCTAAATCTATTTCTGAGAAGAGTGTGGATGAAAATAAATAAAGGACTGAAACGCAGGGATTTCCGCCGGCTTTGACCCAGGGCTTACACCACACACCATAAACGAGGACAACATATGAGTGGAAAGAAGTAGAAGGAAGAAGGAGAGGGTTAAACATGTGATTTAGTTACCTTTAATCTGGTTGCTCTCCATATTGCCATCTTGCATTTTACCTATGATGAAGACATACAGGACAACAACAACAACAAAAATAACCAAGACAGACAGGTCAACAAACCGTCACCACAGAGATGAAACAAACAGTGAGACAGGATAATGACTTTTAATAACATCTTTGTGACAGTCACATAAAAAAAGCTTGTGATACGTAAGTTATGTTATGTAACAGTTTGCTACAGCCTCTCAGAAGTATGTCAGTAAGAAAAAAAAAATCCAGTAAGCATAAATTATCTATCAATAAATTAGAAATGAATTAAGAACAAAAGTTTCTTTGGCTACTCAAAGGGTCAATTTGTCTAATTTGGGGGGGAACAAAATACTAGAATATCATTAGAATGCTGCTGAATTTATTTTTTATCTCAGTAATTCAAATAAAAAAGTGAAACTCATTACGTTAAAACCAGATATTCAGATGCACTATAAGAATACATATCAAATTATTTTCTTATCACACCAGATTAAATTGTCCTGTCAGTTTTCTTATAAATCTTTTTCCAATGATATTTTTTTTTTACTCTTTCCAGATGTCTAAATATATTTTCTTAGTATTTTGCTTCAACATTTTGGGCATGTGCTTTTTGCAGTAGTTTGCTGAAATTTTGACTCATTCCTCTAGAACCGGTGTAACAGAATGATGTTTATAAACCACTCTAAAAATCATAAACCTTTTCACACTAACTTTCTATGCAACTCTAATACAACTACTTTTCATCCTTATCCTTCTTTTTAACAATTTATATGTATGTTTTGGGTCATTGTCCTTTAGGAAGACCTATTTGCAGCCAAGTATTAATTTCTTGGCTGATGTCTTGAGGAGATGTGCCAATATTTTCATTTAATTCTCTTTTCTAAACAACTACACCAAATGATGCTGCCAGGTACTGTACTTAGCAGTCAGGATCATGTTCTTAAGCAAATTCTCTCCGTTTTTATTCTTCCACCACATCACACAATGAGCCTATGTGTTTGAGATGACACCTTCACATACGTCTACAGGTGTTCCTCAAATACTGTGAATTAACTTTTGAAGCATAAGACATCTTCCAGCAAACAGTGGCTCAATCATGTGCTTTACGGCTGAAATATATAAAATTTACATGAAACAGAAAGGGCTTGAGTTCACTGATCAGTTATCAGTTTCATTGTGCTGCATGGAGACTAATGTTTCAACACAATCTGTGTCTTTATCACAGATTGTCACAAATGAACACAGCAACAGGGCAACTACAAACTACGACTTGTTTACAAATACAGAGAGGCGTCATCTGGGGATTGCCATATTGTTTAGAGGGAAAAAACTCTTGTCAATTTCTGAATTTGAAAAAAAGTTAATTAAAAAAAAAAAACTAATTTTGGCTTTCAGCAAATAAAAAATAATTCTGGAATCATAACTAATGTAAAAGTAGAAATCTGATTAAACGTCAGAAAGTTTTTAAAAAGTTACCTGTGTATTTTTATACTATACTCTGATTCACACCACACTAATCACAAATTTCTGGTATTTTTTTTATGATCATGACTTGAAGTTACATTGTTGGACTATTTTATTTGGTTTGGTGACGGTAATCTTCCTCTTGACAAAACTCAAGAGGAAGATTAGTTTTCTGGCCGACCAAGATGAATGAATCGCTTCAAGATTTCAACGAAATTGTCCAAATAAAATCCAAAACTTAAATCAGCAAGAGAACTTTGGACTCTTGATTAAAAGACCAGTCATTTTTCTTAATCTACATGAAATGTTTCTGATGTGTCTAGTTCAGGAGTTTCTTACCTCAAGTAATGCAACACTTGCAGCACATTTCCATTCTGCATCTACATGGGTGCCTTTTGAAAAGCTCAAGATGCTGTGCACGCCTTGTAAATCTTTCCTAAATTCTCATAAATGCACTTTATGTAACAATAATCTCAAAGTTGTGGCTCTTTCTGTAGTCTGTATAACTTTTTTCCTTCCACTCAACTTTCCAATAATATGTTTGGGCACAGGACTATGTTACATCCATCTTCTTTAGCAACAAGCTAACATTGTATTTCCCTTATTTTGGATGGTATTAATCACTGCCGGATTAAGTGGTGGGTTATAATAGTACATTTACATAAAATATCCATTTTATGCAATATTATAATTCGCTAAGAACCTAAACTTTGGGGTTTAATCATCTCTAAGCCACATTCATTTAAATTAATAGACAAAATACAAAAATGATATTACTCTGTGTGTTATGGGTTTATAGAATAAGTGTTTCACTTTTTTAATTGAATTACTAAAATATTCTTTTGCGTGATATTCTATTTTATTGAATCATACTTGCATATTAAACGCAGCAAAATGGAATAGCAAAACAAAAACTGAGTTTTAATATAAATATTTTTAAACAATATAAACCATATGAGTCAAAGTGTATATTACATGATGTTTACGACAACCAGTAGAAAGAGCATTGCACTGAAGACGGTGAGGGAATGTACAGCACAAACATAAGTACACCATATACAAACAGCAGACAGCATGCAAAGGAAAGATCAGAAAACACATGCAAATCACATTCAGAGGAAGGCAAACTGGAGATGTGAACACAACAAAGAGAGAAAAAGAGCCTGAAGTAAAAGCCTCCCACATGATGAAGTTATGCAACAACAACTGGGGGCATTTCAGAAGTTACGTTTGGGGACACAAGTGTATTATGCCTTTGGAGTCTACTCGACAGAAGGGAAGTTAATTACAGTTAAATTAAAAGCCAGCCAACTTGTGGGTTAATTAATAAAGATGCAAAGATGTGACAACTAATTTTAGTCTATAATGTTTACATGTTTTTATACGAAGACAATCAGAGGTCTAACTACATCTATTTTACAATGTTTTTCAACGCAAATGTCGAATAAGGGAATGCAACTGGAACTGAGGGCTAGTATACCATGGCGAACCCATTTTGGTCAAAAGTTGCACATTAAGCCAGCTTCCTAGAGTAACAATAAAGCTGAAAATAATAATAATAAAAAAAATGTTGCATTTCATCCCAGGACAGAACATGGCCACCCCTCCCATCTTTACCATAAACATCTTGTAGAACCACTCCAAGAACCCAGAAAGGAGAAACATCAACACTAAATGAGAATAATGCTCCTGCATCTTATCCAGGTGAAAATAGAGGATCAGTGCTACATGACCTCCAAGTTCACCAAACACAATGAGATGACCCTACCAAAGAACTTTGAAACTGCTTATTGCCTTGCATACTGATATCTAAATTTATGTATTTATTTGTATTTCATTCTTATTATAATTTGTCAGCATTGAAGGCCTAAACTGCTTTGATTACTTGTAAAAAATACATAGTGATGGATGGAGTAATCTGTTACCAGTGTCATACATAGAAACTGAAGGCACACGGGGACAATAACAAGAACACAACACTAATTTCTACAACTAAATCAGGCATGCATGGACAGCATGGACACAAAAAGGTCCCAAATAACTAAGGGCAGAAATCAGCAGAAGGTAGGCATCCATGATAGGAGGCAGTCGGAGAATGAAGGAGGACAGAGGACAAGTCAAAAGTCACAACAGAGAGAGGTCAGAGATCAGACATTGTGTCAACCTACCATTAATTAGGCTGGCAGTGCCAGGGGCATTAATGCCTGCAGCCCCATCCGTGGCTATAGTTGCAATGGGGTGGTTTGGGGGATGGGAGCAGTCTAGCCAGTAACAATGAAGTTTCAACGTGAATGAACCAAAACACACAGATACACACACGCCCCCACAAACACGCCCAACCATGTGCACACACAAGACAGTGAACAGAAATAACATGGTTACAGCAGAATACAGAGATTCAGCATAATATGCAGACTTAATGATTAGTGTGAAGCATACATATTTATTTGTAAATGCATTATTTAATCTTTTTTATCCAACAGCTATGATCTCGTACTGGAATTATTCTTAGGTAAATAAAACAGTGCAACAGTAAACAGACATGAAGCATGAGATCTAAATATGTCGACAACTATATCCACTAAGATTATATATATATATATATATATATATATATATATATATATATAATATTATCTACTACATCAACCAGTGTTAACTTTTACAGTTAATATACACATATATATATACCTGAGGAGGTATATATATATATATATATATATATATATATATATATATATATATATATATATATATATATATATAAAGTAAAAAATATCACACTGGGTTGTGGAATATATTATATATATATACTGTGTGTCTACATATAGG